TTACTATTCTTTTGAGATATATTTGATTAAGCCTAACTAGCACCGGAAAAAGTGGGTAGTCCAATGCGTTATTTTCAGCTTATACCTTGCCATTTATTTTCAAATTGCTTTCTAAGTTAATTGATGTATAGTTGTGATATAACGTGATTGTTCGTTTTAACAGCTATTTGGATGGATCATTGAAACAACAGTAATATTTACTGCGGACTAACTTTGATAACGACAAGTTTTCAATGCGAAATGAAAAGGTACAATTCGGAAAGAACTAAATTTCCTCAAGAAGACTATAAAACAATAATAAAAATGCTACTACATCAAATAAAAAATTTTCCACTTCAAATAAGTATGCTTTTCTATTCCAAAGCCCGGTTTTTTCCAGTCTCATTAGCAAAAAGAAAAAAATGACATGTTTATTGTAGGCGACTCTTATCTACTATACAAAACTACATTATATGAATAAAAAAATAATAAAAATTTAATTTTCAGTTTATTGTTTGTTAGAAATGTAGAACCATTATTTAGGTAATCCTGTTGTGAAATTTATTGTCTTTTAATAGAGCCGGAATTCTCAAAAACATTAAAAAAAACCTCTCGCTTATTTGACATGAGAACATCTGTTCTCAATTCGTTGTGTAGTTCTCATAATAATGAAAACAAAATACAATACAATAATTTAATTTCAAAAATATTTTAAAAACAATATTTTAGTGCATGCTGTTTGAAAAATAATTCCTTTTTTTAGATGGCTAGTGTTGGTCCTTCGAGTAGGATAATCCGATGTATTATAAATTATTATTATTATTAACTTCCCTGCTAGCTAGCAAGTTTTTGTTTTGAAAATCTCGTATAAAAGTGGCTCCAGAATTTTTTTTTAACGCGGTGTATAAGATATCGAACTATCTCAAGACAAAAATCTTGTTATTTTTACTTGTCAACTGCAAATTGAGTGCTGTGTTTTTGAGTAAAAATCATTTTTTAGAATAAACTATTTTTCATAGTTTATATTATTGTCACCTTATTTTATACAGCATTTACCAACAAACTTGACTATATCTTAAAACATAGGATTTTAATGAAAGCTCGGTTTAAACACAATGTACTTGTCCAGCCATAAATTATTTGCAAATTGTTGAACAAATGCTTCCGACAAAATTGATATTTTCAAATTTACTCAGTCACCTTCACTAGGTGGATGCACAATTTTCTAATGTAAATATAATGATTTATCGTGGAAATCGTTTGAGTCAATCAAGGAAAATATAGTTTGTTGGCTTACTTATAAACTGAGTTGACAAATACTTTACTCCTATACTTTGTGGCTTGATTTAGAAGTATGGCCAGCAGGTTTTTTTAATCTAAAATTTCTACCCTAAGTGAGACTCATACACTGAATGTTTATGATATATTTGGTCATATTTAATCATGAACCACCCAATTTATCGGAAATGATTCAACCGATATATTATTCCTAATGATATGATCCAACACAAGATATATTATTCCTAATGAAGACGATTTCGATATACATGGAAATCCTATTGAACCGACCTGTTTATGCGATGGAAGATTATCAAAACACATAAGCGCAGATCAGTTCTTTCATTGAGCATAAGAACTAAACCAAAACGAAAACAGACATTCTCAAGAAGAACATTGAAAGAAGGTAAATATTTTTGCAAACCATAAAGGTATTAATTTCTATGACAACTTGGAGCAACATAAATATATGGCAAAGAGGAAGCATAACTATTTCAGATTTCTTTCTTCATATATCATTGTTCCTTTGGTTATAATAAAAATAAATATTTAAGCTTTCAAACTGAAATGTTTGACTTCAAAATTTTTCTATTTCTCTTAGAAGCTAAGCTATAACGAACTTGGTTCAAGTTGCAAAACAAATTGAGAAATCCACAGAATATCATGTTTTGTCTCAACTTCTTTTCAGCTGTGCATTTCCACATAGCCTAGAGTACGAGATGATTATAAAATGTCAGCAAAAAATGATAATCGTGTACTGGGCTTATTGATTGCTTCATTGTAAGTTCAAAACAGAAAAGTAACCAGTAATCATATTAACGAATATAATGTATTTGTCGGTTTTGCAACTAGCACCATAGAGCACTATGTCACAGAAAATACCAATTCCCATGAAGAATTATAATATTTAAAAGCATGTAGACACGAATGTGTTCTGGCATTTAGTTTGCGCTATTACGGTATTTTCCAATTGAAAATTGACTTCGTTTGGATCTAGATCTACGCAATACGAAGACGTGCTTTTACAGCTGACAATAGTGTTGACTGTTAATTACTGCAGGTCAATAATTCGTACAAATAACCATGGTGTAATTGATCATTCACATTATCTGTAAGCCCAAATTGAATTGAAAGATACACGAGTTTTTCGTTCTACTGAGTATCATTTAAATCCTTATTTAGAGTTTGAAGTCCACTTTGAACAATGTGTTGAAAATCTGTCTTTCAACGTTTTGTGAGATAATATAAGTAAACAGTTACTACGTCGCATGGCATTAATTCAAAGTAGAATTAACATTATCTGAAACGGTGATATTCTTCATTTGTGTTATGTAATTTTCACTTCGATAGGATTACTTTTAATATTTATATTATAAAATAGTACAACAGTCGAAATATTTGGTTTCAGCTGCCGAATTCATTTATCGGAAGTCTCATGCTAAAAAAGTTTTCAATTTCTTTATATCATCCAACAATATTTTATTGCTGTTATAATTAACTAATTAATAAGAAATTACGAGTTCAAAATCTTTATTGATCGAAACGTAAAATTCAGACTGACCTAGTAACAAATAAAGTAAGTTAGATAGTCATTCGCAAAAAAAAACAAACAGAAACATAAGCAGCAATACTAAACATACTTTATACGATCACGGTTTTTCGAAATCTTTCAAAATTGGAAATTCAAAGAAAACTAAATTAAATAGATATACAGAGTTATTCACGCTATACGGCACGGAAGTTTGCGGCTAGACCGAAGTTTCAATTTTAAAAAGTATTATTTTATGAATTGTCCGACGCCTCCCGAGCGCACATTTTAAAAATATTTTTGTAATGTACAGGGTGTCCCAAAGGCTCTAAAGGTATCAAAGTTTTGCAAGGTATCAAGGCGTTTTTTTAAATGGAATGTCCTGTATGTTATTGCATTTTTGGATTCGCTGAACAAAATAAGTGTCTGTTTTAATAAGGTTTATAATACCTAAATCTTAAGGTTTTTTGAATTATACGAATTATATCAAAATCTAATCTAATTTTCACGTGTCAAATACTTTAGAAGGATTTAAGTTATGTAAGCGTAATTTATAGTGAAGAGTAACAAGATATAATATTTTATATCCCAATGATAATAAACTTACCATGTTATACAGGGTGTCCGCAAATTTAAACTAATCAAATAAGAACTTTAAGT